GTCCCAGCCAGCAGGAAACCCTTCAGCTCCACCTTGAAAACACACCTGGCATCTGACCTCTTCTTGCTCCCCTGGTCCAAGGCCCCCTCTGGATGGACAATGGCGGCAGCTTCCTCACTGGGCTCCCAGCTTCTGCCCTCCCCGACCCCAGGCCTTTCCCCAACAGTGACCAGAGAGATCTTTCTAAATCTTGCATCTGATCTTGTCACACCTCTGCCCAGAACCCACCAAGGCTTCTATTCTCTCAGAGTCGAAGCCCACGTCCCCACAGGGGCCCAAGTTCTCGTCTGCTCCCTCCTACCAGAACGTGAGCTCCACGCCAGCAGGGACTTTCATATGTTTTGTTCCCTGATGCACTCCCTGGACCCAGCACGTAGCAGGTGCTCGATAAATACTTACGGAATGAATGAACAGATAACATTTAATATTTTGACTTTGACTTTGGTACATGATAATTCCCACTTTACAGAAAAGGAAACTGAGGCTCAGAGCAGTGAAGAAACTTGCTAAGGTCACATGTGGAGAGCTGCAGATTGAGCTCATGTCTTTTGGACATGTTGCCTCTTCCCACTGATGCCTGGATGCCATTTACCCAGCAGCTCCAGGCCGATGGGCACGTGGAACCAGTCCTTCAGGAGGCGCCAGGACTAGGGAGGTGACTGCACCAGAGGCTGGCCCCAGCCAAGGCGCTGGCCCCCTGCAACACAGACTTGGAAAAGACAATGAGGTTCTGCAGGATCCACACTGGCCCAGAGCAACTTACAGACCGCGGGGGTTGCACTTAGTCAAGGGTGTGGGTCATGTTCAGGGAGGTTCCCAGGGGAAAGGACGCCTTTGTGCTAAGGCCCTGAAGCAGTCTGCATCGCTCAGGAAGACAGGGCAAGGCATCCAAGCAGAGGTGCCAGCATGGACATGCACAGAGGCCAGAAACTGCCCAGGATGGGGCCGTGTCTAAGGAACCAGAAGGACGCCTGTAATCCTAGCACTCTAGGAGGCCAAGGCAGGACGATTGCTTGAGCTCAGGAGCTTGAGACCAGACAGAGCAAGAGGGAGACCCTGTCTCTATTAAAAATAGAAAAATTATCTGGGCGTGGTGGCGCGAACCTTTAGTCCCAGCTACTTGGGAGGCTGAGGCAGGAGGATCGCTTGAGTCCAGAATTTTGAGGTTGTTGTGAGCTATGATGCCACTGTACTCTACCCAGGGTGACAGAGCAAGACTCTGTCTCTATAAAAAAAAAAACAACAAAAAAAAAAACCACAGAGGGGTCTGGATGGTGGTAGCCACAGGGAAACAGAGGCACAAGAGGGGCGTGGGGCTGTTTATCAAAGGCCCCCAAATGCCACACTGGAAAACCTCCAGGGCCATCTTATCGCAGCTCAAGAAAGAAGACTGAGTGAGGCGGCTGCACTAGGGGAAGGAACACGGCTTCCTGCTCACTGTGCAGCGTCCGACAAAGTCTGCTGATTTTGCAACTGTGCCTGTTTCAAACACGACTTCCCACAGGAATATTCCTACTTCAGCAGGCCCTGAGCTTCAGACTGACAAGGGAGGTATCAAGCTGACAGAACAGGGCATGGTCGGTGGCCTGCGGGTGAGCGTGCTGCAGGACAGCGTGCAGAAGGGACACCCACGGGGTCTGGAGTGGAGCAGGAACAACAGCTCAGCAAGAGCTCCCTGCAGGGATGGCATCGCCTGCTTCTGGAACCCAGGAACCCATGGTAGAGCAGCGGTGGCTCTGAGTTCTAGACGGGGCCCCAAGCCAGCCGCACTTCCTAGCTGGGGGGCCCTAGGCAAGGCCAGTAACCACTCTGTGCCTCAGTTTCCCCATCACAAAATGGGGATAATAACCACACAGGGTTACTGGGGGGATCCAGTGAAATGATGCATGCAAAGCAGTTGGCAGTTATTACAGGTTTGTAAGATGAACGAGTTTGTCATCACAGCCAACAGAGAAGGGCCCCTCTGGAAAAGAGAATAGCACATACACAGGCAGCCTACTGTGTTTAAAAAAAATTTTTTAGGGGGGGTAGAGATGGGGGTCTCGCTGTGTTGCCCAGGCTGGTCTTGAACCCTTGCTCTTGAGATCCTCCTGCAGAGCTAGGATTATCAGGCATGAGCCACTGCGCCCAGCCTCCAAAAATTTAAACTTCATTTTCACTGATATAAATAATACCTGCATACATTTTCATTACAAAATATTCACAAGATACAGTCAGCACTAAAGTCCCTGTTGCCTACCAGCACTGGCAGTAAGAAGCTGATAGCCACCAGGCAGCGACATGGGGCCTCCTGGAGATGGGCCATGGCAGGGTTCAGAATTGGGGCTGGGGTCTGGGCCGCCTGCTCCCAGAGTTAAGTGAGTCAGGGAGCTGGCCCCCGGGCATCTGCCACCTGCCGCCAGGCCCGCCAGGCTGTGACTCAGTAACCCTCTCCCACTGCACACCAAATCCATCGCGGGCGCTGACTCATGCCAGTACACGCTGGGCCGAAGAAAGAAAGACGACGCTTTTAGAGCCTGTGACTGAGGAACCTACGTCAGCATCTCTGATGGATTTTAAATTGCATAGCTGCCGCCAGGCCCCACAGCCCGCACCCCATCCTGCCCTCCTCCCGCAGGGCTGGCTGATGAAGTGAGGTCGCCACGTGGTCTCAGGTGGGGGTTAGGGCTGTAGCTCGAAACTCTGACGTCTGGCTGCCGGCTGACTTCCTGATGGATGGATGAGAAGGCCACAGGACAGGTCTAAGCGTGATGCTGGGACGTGAGAGAGTGGGCGCCAGCTGCTGACCTTGCCATCATAGCGCATCGTCACTGGTGGCGCTCTTATCTGCGCCCCTTGATGGGCAGCTCCTCAAAGGCACGAACCTTAACGAGGGAAGGCGGATGAGCTGGGGGTGGGGCGGGGATCTCCACTCCCTCCAAGGGTTTGGGGCAGAGGGCAGCCTGGCTGTGGCCTGGGGTACACCACACAGCTGGTCATGGCGCGTGTAACTGAGATGTCGGCGTCGGGCCATGGGTAAAGAGCCAGGGCCCTGGTGCCAGGTTGCCTGGGTTCAGTCCTGGCCTGTGACCTTGATCAGGTACTTAATCTCCTGTGCCTCAGTTTTCTCAAGGCTGCTGTGAGGATAAGTGAGTTAATACGTGGAAAGGGCCAGGTAAGAACCTAAGAGGTCACAGCCATAACAGGAGGGCTGGTGTGACCCTTTCATAGGATCCCTGGCCCTCCCCTGACCAGAGAAGGCCTGTTTCTTGGACGTCCCCCATGTACTTTTACAGGCACACTTGTACCCAGGAGATGGCAGGTGCCAGCTGATGAGGTCATGGGAACAGCCCACTGGTGAGGCAGGCCGGGGAAAGACACCGATGCTTATCTAGTCCCTACTGCATTAAGTGTTTTATGTATTTTCATTTGTTCATGTCTCACAACCTGTGAGGTCAGTATTATTATCCCCATTTTACAGATGAGGAAACTGAGGCTCAGAGAAGCTAAACTTCCCAGTCATTCCACCAGTGAGCATTGTAGCCAGCATCCTTGACCACAGATCTGACCCCAAAGGGCAAGTTCTGGTTCATGCAGAGCCAGCTGGGGGCCCCAACACAGCCCATTCTAAGGGGAGCAGACTGCAGTCCTGGGCATGTTAGCCAAGAGGTGGGTGTGGGGTGGGCTGTCTCCTGGGCTGTTTTCCTAGGTGCTGGGAAGGCCTGAATAAATGTGGTCCCTTCCTGATCACCATCGGGGGTGTACTTATTTTTTCAACTGAGGCCTCTCTTGGGGAGGCCCCCACAGTTAGGGGAAGCACGTGTGGGTCTGTTCATCCTCCCCAGCCCCCAGACAGGCCTTCCCTGGTCACCTTCCCTCGGGGGCCTCCTTCTCCACTCTCCACCGCAGCCCCCCTCAGTCAAAGTGACAGGTTTCCCTGTTTACCTGGGTGTGGTCTGTCAGCCCATCAGAGACCACGGCCACCAAAGGCAGGGGCCATGGCCATGTCTCTCAGCACCGCAGCCCAGTGCCGAGCACGGGGCCAGGTGTGCTGTAGACACTGATAGCATGAAGTCTGGGCAAATTAGTCAAAGAGAGGGGGCAATGGGCAAAGGAGGCCAAGAAACACGAGTCTGGAGGAGGAAACAGACAATGGCAACGGTGTGATGAGGGTGGCAGCAGGGAGAGTGCAGGGCGGGGCGGGGAGGGAGGGCTTCCCTGGAGGGACCTGTGGGCGAGCACAGCTCCCCAGGAAGAGGAGGAGGAGACGGAGAGAGGGTATGGGGCTCCCCCGCCTGCACTGTGCCCACGCCCGCCCCTCTGCCTCTGCAAGGCCTTTAACCCCCGACTCGCGGCCTGGGTCGCTTCCCTCCCAAGGACGTGGCTCCTGCAGCAGCCCCAGCTCTCCTGGATCATCCTCTGCCCCACGCAGGTCTGTGGCCCACCCTGGCCTCGCCTTCCTCAACCTCGCGCCACAGCCTTCCTCTTTGATATATGACGGCCTGTTCCGGATTCCAGTCCTTGCCTCCTCCTACCTGTCTGACTACTCATTCTCATACCTCTTCTTACCCCTTCATCTCCCCGCTGCTAAGTGGTGGGGTGCACCAGAATTCAGTCCTCAAACTGCATTTCTCTTGAGACCTTAGGTTCTTAATGTTTCTGGTGCCATGGACGACCCTTTGCCAGTCTCATGACACCTATGCTTTAAATGCTTAAAGTGTTTTAATCCGTAAAACACATAGGATTACAAAGGAGATCATATTTAAATAGTAGTTAAAATACTAAAAAACCACATTTAAATATGCTGCTTTCTTTCTTCTTTTCTTTTCTTTTCCTTCCCCTCCCTCACTCTCTCCCTTCCTTCCTTCCTTCCTTCCTTCCTTTTTTCTTTAGACAGGGTCTTGCTCTGTTCCCTCGGCTAGAGTGCAGTGCCGTCATCACTATGCTGCTTTCTTGATGCATCAAATAACAAGACCTAGTGGTGGGTTAAATAACTACTATAATTTCGAAGTAGTGATGTATGTAAACAGTATCTCAAAATTATCTGCAGTAATTGCAATGTGACGTAAATATCAGCAACTTCCATGGGTGACAAAGTCAAGGGCACTGATAATACTACTGTGATTTGTTGCCTATGTTCATCACAGAAGGAAATGCTAAATTGGAGTTAGAGCTTAGTAAAAATAAAGACGTCATTTTTTTTCCCATCCAAGTTCACGAACCCCTTGAATTCAGTCTGTACTCCTTGGGAGTGTCTGTGGACCCCAGGTTTAGAACAAGGCTCTACACTCTCTCTGTAGGTAATCTTGCTTAAACCAGTGATCCTTAAACTTTGGTGGCAACAAGATCTCCAGGAGTGGCTGGGTACACCACAGTGTCCGCCATACAGAAAATGAACGGGGGGCCCAGGTGTGGTGGCTCATGCCTGTGGTCCCAGCACTTTGGGAGGCTGAGGTGGGAGGATCCCTCGAGAGCCCAGAAGTTGGAGACCAGCCTGAGCAACAGAGCAAGACCCGGGAGGGCTGTTACAACACAGATTTGGTAGGTCGGAGGTGGGGCGCAAGAATCTGCATTCCTGTAAGCTCCCAGGTGATGCTGCTGGTCTGGGAGCCCCACTCTGAGTAACACTGACTGAGACCTGTGACTTCTGACACCATCCACTCACTGATGACTACCACATCGACATCTGCAGCCCAGGACCCTCTCCTAAACTCCAGAAACACAAATCCAGCTTCCAGATTAACACCACACTGTGGACACCTGGTGGGAGTCTCCAGTGACACTGGAGATGAATGAGCGACGCCCAGTCCTACCACTTCCCTAGTAATCTGCGCTTTTCCAAGCTTCTACCTCTAGAAAACGGGACCACCTGGTTGTCAAGACAAAAACTTAAGAGGTTTCTTTGAATCCCTGCTTGCCCTCCCCTACATCCCATTCCTCATTAAGTCTTATTGATCTTACATCCCGAGTCTGACCACGGCTCGCTAATTCCACTGCCTCAGCCACTGCCTGTGACCTCTGCTCTTGGCTCCCTCCGGCCCACCTGCAAGCAGCTGCCAGAGTGATCTTCCTAAAGCTGTGCTGTCCAGCAGAACTTTCCTCAATGTGGAAACGCCCTATATCTGCACTGTCTCCTGCCGTGGTCCCAGCCATGACGTGGCTTTGAGCACTTGAAACGTAGCTAGAGAGACTGAGCGACTGAACTGTACGTTTCATTTAATTTTAATTAATTTAGCCTTATGTGGCTAATGGCTACCTACTGGATAGTACAGTCCTAAAGCATAAATGTGCTTAAAACACTGCTTCCCATCACAGCCACCATAAAATCCAAGTCACGGGGCACGGCAAAGGTGCCGTGTGTAGCTAACGTATTAATACAAACAGCGTCCTCAGTGAACCATGACTCTCAACACCTGAACCTGGGCTGGCACGAGACTCACTTGAACCCACACAACGTGGCAGAATCCGCCCAGTTCCAGCTGAGGCCTTAAGAAGGCCTCGCAGCTTCTGCTTTAGCACTTAAGGAAGCCCTGAGCTATCAAGAAAGAAGTTCACTCTGCCGAAAGACTACAAGGCCCAGCACACACCCACGTAAAGGGGAGAGCTGCTCCTTGGTGCCAGATCATTGTCGCCGGTGGGAACATGGGCCCAGTGTGGCCAGAGCCTCTGACCTTTAAAGGCCAGAAATGTGGACTCCTGATCTTTTTTTTTTTTTTCTTTTTCCTTTTGAGACAGGGTCTTGCTGTGTCTCCTGGGCTAGAATGCAGTGGCATCATCATAGCTCACTGCAACCTCCAACTCCTGGGCTCAAGCGATCCTTCTGCCTCAGCCTCCCAAGTAGCTAGGACTGCAGGTACATGCCACCACACCCAGCTATTTTCTATTTTTTGTAGCGACGGGGTCTTGCTTTTGCTCAGGCTGGTCTCAAACCCCTGGCCTCAAGCAATGCTCCCACCCCGGCCTCCCAAAGTACTAGGATTATAGGCGTGAGCCACCGCGCCCTGCCTCCTGATCTTTTAATAATGGCTCTGATGTGTTTAAATGTTGTACAGGACAAACATAACTTGTCTTGGGGCTGGATGTGGCCAATGAGTTTGCAATCCCCAGTTCAGGTGTCAGGGACTCGGAAAGGGGCGTTCTGAGCCGAGGCTGCAGGAGGGGCACGCAGAAGCCTGGCGTGGCCAGTGACTCTGTCTGGCTGGGACTGGGAAGGGGAGCTGTGAGACATGGGGACAGCTGTGTGAGCTCAGGCAAGACACCTAACCTCTCTGGGCCTCAGCATCTCATCTGTAAAACGTGCCACCTCACAGGGTCACTGAGAAGCCCCACTGTGGCAATGCTGAGCCGAGTGCTGGCACGTGCCAAGCAAGCCCTGCACTGCGCTGCCCTGGCCCTCCCAAGCGCACTGCACTCACACCCATCCGTGACGTAGGAGCTGAAGCTCCCGGGTCTGGGGAACAAACAACAGTGATACTTGAATGATCTTTTGGAGCTGACAAGGTGCTTTCCAACCTACCACATACACCTCACTCCCTACCCCTCTATTCCTCACCCCAGCACTTGGCACCACTGGAACACGAGTCTGCAGACTGCCTCCCTCCACTGAGGGGGAAGCCCACCAGCCCAGGAACATTGCCCCAGAGCTTATCGCTGACCCTGGAACGCAGAAGGTTCTCAGTACATTTTTTTTTGAAGGAATAAATGTATATTAGCTCATGTCATCCTCACGCCAACTATGTGGCGTGGGTGGTATCATGATATTATTATTACCACCACACCCTCACCCCAAGATGGGTCAAGTCATTTGTAGGGCGTTCCTTGGCCAAGAGTAGGTAGAGCTGGGACTTGAACCCAGGGCTCGGGCCACAAATCCGAAGGCCTTCTCAGCTCCCGCTGTCTCCCCATCTGGGGAGAAAAGTAGCCCCTTCCTAAGCCAGCCATCCGGGGCTTAAAACTGCATGGAGCCTGAAACCCCCACCCAGATTCTCTGCAGCAGCTGCCAGGAGGCTGGACACTGACCCTCACTTGCCGTGGGCTCCGGCGGGGTCAGGTCGAGTGGGCATACACCTCACCAACCAGTTTTCAGGGAGGAAGGGGATGGAGAGAACGGGGCTCAGGTAAGAGGGGCCAGGCAGGGTCTCCATACCTTGTTGATGCTGAACTGTCCCTCGAAGCGGCAACCTGCCCCGTTGTTCAAAGGGATCTTCATCGAGTTGTCGATGTGGCCCACCTCATGCCTGCCCATCTCATCCTGAATGTCCAGCCCAACCACTGCGGGATCCAAGGGGAGGCGAGAGTCACAGACCTGAAGACATGGGGGGGTAGGGACCAGCCCCTCCTCATTCACCCATTGCATGGACAGGCCAGGCCCGGGGCCCTCCGGAAGCGCATGGTCCGGGATCCAAAGATGACAGGGTGCAGGTGATGACTCTGCCCAGTGTGAGGCTAAGGGGAGGCAGTGGACGGTAGGGGCTCCGAGGGGCACACTGTCATCTGAATCCTGGCTCTGCCTCTTACCATCCCTGCAATCTTGACTCAGGTACTTAACCTCGGGATGCCTCAGTTTCTCTATAAAATGGGGCTGGTAGCAATGGAAGCCTCCTTGCAGGATTATGGGGATCAAACAGCGGACAGGTGCAGAGAGTGCTCAGAACGGCGTCCGGTGCACGGTAAGTGGAAAGTGCGTGGTAAACGTTAGCACTTACTGTCCCTCAGACAGTCCCTGGGTTCATGGGGTGAACAGGCTCCAGTTCACTCCCATACCAGTCATTCACTTGCGCCTTCCTGTACCCCATGCCATGGGACAGCGCCAGGGCACACAAAGGGAAAGATAGGCCCCGCCCTCCAGGAGCGTGGGTGCTTTTCTGGGCTCCTCAGTACACGCAACAGGAACTCTGGTCCTGACTCCAATAGGACCCTGTCACCTCATTGTGACTCAGCTTCCCCACCAGTAAAATGGGCAGACCGATGCCAACTGCATGCCCAGAGATGGTCCAAGTGGCAAGCAGGGAGCGGATGCCCACAAACCATGGAAATGCAGGAATTCCCCAGGCAGGAGCACTACAAAGGAGGCTGTAATTCAGAGAAAAAAACAGCTGGAAGCAATTTTAAAGAAAGCCAACCTTAGGGCCGGGCGCGGTGGCCCACACCTGTAATCCTAGCACTCTGGGAGGCAGAGGCGGGCGGATCGTTTGAGCTCAGGAGTTCGAGACCAGCCTGAGCAAGAGTGAGACCGCGTCTCCACTAAAAAAAATAGAAAAAAATTATCTGGACAACTAAAAATATATAGAAAAATTAGCCAGGCATGGTGGCACATGCCTGTGGTCCCAGCTACTCAGGAGGCTGAGGCAGGAGGATCGCTTGAGCCCAGCAGTTTGAGGTTGCTGTGAGCTAGACTAACGCCACGGCACTCACTCTAGCCAGGGCAACAGAGTGAGACTCTGTCTCAAAAAAAAAAAAAAAGAAAGCCAACCTTAGAAGGGAAAAAGGGAACCACCCTGTGTTCCTCCGTGGAAACGGGGAGGTGATGAGGGCCCACCCACAGAAGAGAATGTGAGGCCACCCCCCTGGGTCTGTGGTATGGGGGAAATGCCAACACTATAATGTTAAGTTTAAAAGAAATGTGAGCAGGTCCCTGTTTGACGGAGCAGTTCCAACCCTCGGAACCAGTCCTCCAGACACACACGTGTGTCCGGACGTGTGTGCAAGGCTGCTTTGGGCAACCTTATTTGAAATTGTGACAACTGGAAGCAAGCCAACTGCCCATCACCAGGGGACAGCCAGTGGAACAGCCTCCTCCACGATGCCCTGCAGAGGCACAAAGAACGGAGAAGAGGCTCCCAGCAGGGCAGTGGCGTCTTAGCGCTGGGACCTCAGGCAGGTTACCTAACTGCTCCGTGCCTCAGTTTCCTCCTTTACACATGCTTGTTGGGGGGATTAAAGAAAATTAAAACGGCACTTACTATGTGCTAGACTGTCTTTTATAATAAGTGCTTTTTAAGTAAGAGCACACCATCTGAACGTTCCTGTGGGGAAGATAATACCTGCATTTGGGGAAACCAAGGCACAGAGGTCTCACAGTCAAGAAACAACAAAGCCTGGACTGGAATCCAAGTGGCCTTGCTCCAGAGCCCACACCCTCCAGCCACTCTGCTAGCACCTCGCACCCCAATGCATCAATACAGCCGAAGGGTGTAGGACGGGGCCTGGCCTGGGACAGGAACTGAATAAATGGCAGCTCTTATCATTTTGTTCATATTATGAGTAATGTAAGAACAGGTCCAAGATATTAGCTGGAAGAAAGAGAAACTCCAGAGGGTTCCACAGCACAGAATCCCAATTATGTGAAAAGAAAAGAAAAAAAAAAAAGCCCAAGCATAGTGTATGTCTGCAGACACACACACACACACACACACACACACACACACACACGCATGCAGGGGTGCGGAGAAGGCCCCCAGCTGCCAGCAGAGGCTTCCTTTGGGAGGATGATGTGCTGGGAGCAGGGGAGGAGCACTTTTACTTTTTTTTTTTAACTTCTTAAACATATTTTTATATTTTTAAATGTGTGTCTTCTTAAAAATAAAACAGAGTGTTCCTGTATTAGCTGTGTAATTAAGAACATTATTTTTAAAAGCAGGATATGAGATCGTACATGCAGCATGATCTCAGCCATGTTCAGAAATGCACAGAAAGGAGGGCCAGCTGGACAGAATGATGTCAAAAAGTCAACCAACACTGTCATCAGGTGGTGAAATTATGGATGATTTCTTCTCTCTGCTTCTCTGGATTTTCCAGAGGTACAATGATGAGAACACACTTTCAAAAGAACTTGAAGTTCTTTTAAAATAACACCAGGATGCTGGGCTCTGGCCAGGGGGTTCAGGTTATAGCCCCGAAGATGCAACAGTGTCCGGTGGGGTGTGGGGCAGAGGGGACGGCACAGCCGGGGGCCTGAGGTCACCTGGACCCTCCTACAACCACATGCCTCCCTTCCCAGTCCTCTGTTCTGACTAAGAATTTCCTTGCTGCAGGGACACAATCAACTCCTGAATGAGAAGCTGCCAGATGAATTATTTTTCTAAGTGAAAGAGAAAAAAAAATAAATAAAAAATAAAACAGACCTATTTCAATGGGTTCCCTGGCTCGGGGCCCACTGAGGATTCAGAATTGTGACGTAATTCTCACCAAAAGCAACAACAGGGCTAAATCTCTCCCTCTCCCTGGCTGGAGATCCGCTCAGTGTTCTGCCCTCAGCTGTGCCCTTTAACAGAACGGGGGTGCTGGGGGTGTGGAGGGGACAGAAGAGCCTGCAAAACGGTCTGTGCCAGGCTGGGCAGAGTGACGGCGGGAACTCCTGCCCAGGAGAAGATGCGCGGCCCACGCGCTAACAAGTCTAGGGACCACCTCGTCACACTCTCCCGACAACCTCAGGCCTAGGTAGATGCTACTAAGCCTATTTTATAGACGAGGAAACTGAGGCTCGGAGATCACCTTAGCCGAGGGCACAGTTTTAGAGAGCTAAGGCTCCGGGAGCTGACTCTGAATCAGACTGTGAATGAGTTTTGTTTTATACAAGTTATTCATTCTCTTGGTTAAAACAAGCAAAAACAAAATAGATGTTTAGTAAAAAGGAAGCTTCCTGGCTCTGCCCGTCACAGGTGCTGCTGGAGCCCTGTCCTGCCCCCTGTCACGGACGGCGCGCCCACCGCAGCTCCCACGAGCGCTGGCTGCGCACAGCTCGGAGCCGCGCCGTCTGCAGATGAATGCTCTTGGGTGGCTGGCGGTCTCCTTGCCTTGAGATGCTTGGGAGGTTATGTGACCCCTCAACACACATCACCCTGCAGCCATTAGCCGATGATGTGGACAGCAACAGCCTGGACCCATGACTACTGGGTGGGACAGACGCTATGGTGTCATTCACACCCCAGAGCATCCTGTGTGAGATCAGGCTGAATTTGGGCTTGAGCTGAACACACGTCTTTGCTTATCCTCTTGCCCTGCCCTGAGTCCCTCACTCCCCGACAGCTTCCTCCTCTCGATAAATCACCTGCACGAGAACCCTGGGCTCTGCAGCTAAGGAACAGGACACGCCCCACCTCTCCGCACCAGCGTGGCTGCTCTCCAGGGGTAACCCCTGTGAGTAGTTTCTCGTTTTTATGCCAGAAAAGCTCCAAGTGCACGCATGTTCAGTGACACCTGCCTCAAAGAAAGAGCGGGGAGAACCGCATGCAACATGCAGTCTGCAGCTTGCCCTTCGAGTTCACTTAACTTGGCCGGGGGCTCTCGCCGCTGCTGCACACACAGATTAGCCCAAAGGAGGGTCTTGCTGGAGGGAGGGCTGTGTGGAATACTCACGCTCACAGTGCAGATTGGGTAAACTGATGTTCAGGCTGACGTCAATCTTGCCCCCGCTGTCCTTGTCTGGGTCATCGACGTACAGCTCGTTCACGCTGCGGGACAAATACAGAGATGTCCACTGAGAAGCGGGCGCTGATTCCAGCCGCAGCGGACAGCCAGGGGCCACTTCACTGGGTGACCACTGCTCAGATCACCCAGACTCCGCCTGGGCAAAGACCCCGCGTGCTCAGGCTCGAGTTCCCGTCTTGACCACGCTCTGCAAATGCTTCCCTGCCTCTCAGAGCTAAGGCACTTTCTGGGCTCGCCTCGGTGAGCCCATCTGTTAAGTGGGGATGACACCACCCCCTGCTAAGTTGGTGGTTTGAACACTGAGCTGAGAAATGCAGGTCCTGTGAGGGATCGGGCGGCACCCAGTACCTTGCTGCCTCCTCTCCTGACCCCTCCCGGCCAGCTGGGACGCGGAGGCTCAAGTGCTCACCCTCACACGGCCCTGGGGCGGAGCCAGCTCTGAGAAAGGACTTCGCAGCTGTGCGAATTTCCTGCGGCTGCCCTGACGCGATACCACAACACTGACGGCTTAGCACACTAATTTAGCTTACGTTCTTGGGGTCAGAAGCCTAAAATGGGTCCACGGGGCTGTGTTTGGGGGAGAATCCGTTCTCTTGCCTTTCCCAGCTTCTAGAGGCTCCTGGCCCCTTCCTCCACCTCTGACCTCCGGCCTCCCTCTCGAGAGCTAGTGATTTCGTCTGAGCCCCCTGGATAACCCAGTATTCCCTCCCCATCTCCAAATCTTTAATGTGACCACACTTGAAAAGTTCCTTTTGCCGCATAAGGTAACATCGTCTCAAGTTTCAGGGACAGGGACGCAGACATCTTTGTCGGCAGGAGGTCATTATTCTGTTGACCACAATGGCCACAGCTAGAGGGCAGGTGGCTCCACAGACAGCCACGTCCCCTTGCTGTCAGGGACAGCGGCACAATATCAGCATCTGCTGGCCACCCATGTTTGTTCCACAAACTTTTTTGAATACCTACTACCTGTTAGGCACCAGAAACAGCGATGACCAGGCAGATGTGGTCTCTGCCTTCATCAAGCTCACAGAGGCAAGAACCAGACATTGCTCACCTCCTAAATAAACAGGTTGCCACCAACTAGGATCAGCGTGTTGACAGAAAGCTGCAGGGGACCCTGAGAGGGACTAAAGGGACAGACCTTTGGGGAGAGGGGGCTGGGGAGACTGCTCTGAGATGTGAGTTGAGGTCTGGAGGAGGAGCAGGCGCCGTCCTGGCTAGGCCTGGCAGCACGTGCAAAGCCTGGAGGTGGGGAGGGCATGGCTCGTTTGGGGAATTGAATGAAGGTCCCCGTGGCTGCAGTGTAAGAGCAAAGGGAAGCGTGGTGTGTGACGCAGTCCAGGGCTGGGACAGGAGAGGCCAGACTTGAGGCTGAGCCAGCCACGTGGGCAGGCTTGCACTCTACTGGGTTCCCTCCGGCTGCCTCGAGGACCCGCTGGAGGCACCGCTGTGTGGCACTAAGACCAGGTAGGCCGCGTGTGATGGGAACAGGGAGGACGGGCTGCAGGATACAGCGTAGGGCAGGCAGGACGGGCTGATGGATGGAGGTGGGGTGCACTGAGAGAGGCACGTGGGTGGACTGTCATGTTTCTTTCTGGACCCACTCGTTGGGCTGAGAGCCCCTGGAAGAGGAGCAGGACTGGGGAGCGGGAGGTAGCAAGTGCCAGAGGCTGTGCTGAGCCCGAGGTGTCTTGGAGATCTCCCCGAGGAGCTGCCTAGTGGACATCCCAAGATGTGTCTGATTCCCATATAACTCCCCGGGAGGACAGGGAAACAAAGCTAAAGGCCTGGCCTAGGGGGCAGTGCTGGAGGTGGCTGGGCTCTGGTTATTTTCCGGTCCACAGGCTGTGAGATAAGGGACGATTGCACTTAGCACTAAGCAATCAGACTCTAAGAGAGCTTTGTAAATAGCCGCCTGTCTCAGGGAAAGAATGAGTCAGACCAGGGCAAGGTAATTTTGTTTTTACTAAGACCCCATCTTTGTGCCCCTAGCACCTGGTGAGATATAGCTGGTGCTCAATTAACAGGGAACAGTGGGCTCAGAAGCACAGCCAGGGCTTGCTTCCTGGTGAGGGCCACAAGGATATTCCCAGAGACATGAGCCCAACAGATGGGGCTCAGCCTTCAGACCGCTGGCCCTGCCTGGTAAGCAGAGGAGGCCTTCTACGTGCTTTCACATTATCCCATCTGCTCCTGTGAAATATCCTGATCCCCATTTTAAAACCAGGAAATTGAGGCTCAGAGAGGGTGTGTCCCAACCCCAACGGGAAGTAGCTGAGCTAGAACCTCAACCTCAGGCTTCCCACAGCTCACGCTGCCTCCCTGCCCTCTCCTCAGCATCCAGGGCCAAGGGAGAAAACAAGGGGAGCCCTGGCCCTGGGAGGCCACACAGTGGGGGCAGGGGGGCAGAGGCTAGTGCTTGGCATGGCTCATAGTGTTGGCCCGTATCAGATGCCACCAAGGACAAATGAGCACACAGGACAGGAGGTGAGGCTAGAGGAAGATCAGTTTCCCCGCAGCCAAATGCTCCGCCCTAGCCTTCAGCACCCAATTTCCACCCCAGCCTTAACTGGCAACTCTGAAGGTTGTTGGAATTGCCGGCTGATTAACACAATGGTCACCCAGGGAGAGCCTCTGGCTTCCCTTCCCAGCTGAGACTCTTCCTTGAAGCTACTCACCTTTCCCACCTGGCCAGGCTGGGCCTCTGCACATCACTGAGGGACTGTGGGATGATGTCACCCCTGCTAATCCCCTGGAGGTGACCTCAGCGAACAGCAAGGTGAATCCCAGGGGTGGCGCCAAAGTGAGCTCACCCGCAAGGCCCCAGGCAGCCTCTCCTGGGCATGGATCCCTGTCTTCCTAACCAGAATAAACAGGGGCCAGGCTCCCCAGGGCTGAAGGGCCACCCAGAACAAAGGGGGTGAGGTGCCAGGCAGGGACGCGCCAGAGGCTGCACTTCAGCCAGTCTGGTTATGTAAGGCAGGGACTGGCTGCGCCCAGGCTCCTTCCTGGAGGGCCCGGGCTCCGGGATAAACACGGTTCAATCACCTGTGCCGCCTGATGAGGTCAATACGGCTGCCTTTCGCGTCCAAGGCAAATGTTCCCAGGCTGCTGGCTTCCTGCCACCCCAGCCAGCGCCTCAAGCCTGCCCACAGCCGCCCCAAGGCAGGGGCCTGCCAAGGCTCACTGACTTTATTGGCTGGGGCTGATCTGATTTTAAAAGGCCAACGGGCTGCCAAAAGTCAGTCTACCTGGAATAAAAATAAATGCTTTTTGTGGATCCACTGCGGTTTAAGGACTCGTGTGGGCCTGACTCCTGCTAACTAGCATGAGCAACAAGGAGACCCGCGGCGGCAGCGGCGGACAGGTGTGGATTCACCTCCTGGCACTGCCACGCAGAGGCTGGCAGACCTGGGACAAGTCACTTCGCTCCCCTGAGCCTCAGTGTCCTCTCTGTAAAATGGGAAAAGCTTTCAATACGGTTTAAAAATAGGCAAAATTAATCTATGGGGCTATTGACTGGGAAGGGCTCATGGGAACCTTCTCGGTGATGGAAATGTGTCATCTTGATAAGGGTGATGGGTACATGGGTGTAAACACAGGTGAAAATGCGTCAACCCTCTACCTTAAGATTTTTGCACTTTGCTGTTGTTCATATCTCACTAAAAAGAAGGAAAGAACATAGGAAGGAAGGAAGGGAAGGAGGGAGAGAGGAAAGGAAACAGGAGATAAGGATGAGGTTCTGGCTCCGTCACAGGGCTGCTGGAAGACGTGGGCCATGCCGCAGGCTGCCTGACGCGCGAGTGTGTCTCCCTTCTCTTTCTCTCCAGGGCCTGCCACAGGCCCTTCTTGGTAAAGAAAATACAGCAGCGTGGGGGAAGCCCAGGCTGACAGGGTTCAAATCCTGGCTCTGCCACCTCCTGGAGGACTGGCCTTGGGCAAGGGGCTTTGCCTTTCTGTCTCCCCAGATGTAAAATGGGGACAATCACAGTATCTACATCATGGGGTTGCTGAGATTAAACAAGAACAAGAGAAAGACTGAGCTCGGTCTTAGGAAATAGTGCTCAAAAAATGCCCACTATTTTTATCATTATTATTAGCACCAATGTTTAATGAGTTGATAATAACAGGGATACTAAGGCAGGATCTGAACCCAGAGCCCACACTCTTTCCAAGGCATCACGCTGTCTAGATGGGACACGTGTTGGTGAAAAACTGAGGAGCAAGTGGCCCCCAAGCAGACTTGTGCTGCAAGTGTCATCGCCCTTTCTGATAAGCTTCAGACGTGCCCCCACCATGGCCCACGTGGCTTGCAGGGCATGAAGGTGCTCCTGGGCCCACCACTTGGTGCCCCACTAGCCTCCCTCCATCACCGCCGCCAGGACAGCACTCTCTGAGCCTGAGCACAGAGCACAGTCTTGAAACTTCTCCGGAATGAACCCCCAGGAAGTAGGGAAGGCATGCACTGGCAGAGCAGTGGGGGGCACATTCCAGGTAGGGGACGCCAGATGGCGTCGGGGAGTCGGGCTCAGAGTGGCCAAGTGCGTAGGCGTGTTGGTAAGCAGTAGCCTTGTAGGGAGAAGGTAAGAAAGGGTGGGGGGAGTGTAGGTGGAATGTAGCGGAGGGCCTTGAAATTCTAGGCCGAGGCGTGAGTCCGATGACATCTATGGAAAACAATTTTATTTGCTTTTAGAAGAGCACTCAAATAGTTCGGATTCCTGCCCAAAGCCGCTGACCTCCATGCTTCATATTTGATCAGACGGAAACTTACGCAGCAGAGGCCGCAGCAAGGGCTGGGGTGGGGATGGGAGGGGAGGGATGCAGCCCATGCAAGCAAGCGCTCCCCGACCTTGGGTTTCAGATCCTGACTCTTCCAGGTAAGAGGAAGCGCATCTATTACCCACCAGGCAGATGTCCAAAATTTGTCCCCTGACAGCCAGCTACCCAGCCCTGCCCCATCCCTTCCTCTTAAGCCCTGGTCCCAGCACCCTCGGCCTCTCTGCCTTGGGTCCTCACCCAGCTCCTCCAGGTTGCCCCACCCCAATCCCATCTTCATAAACCTGTCTCTCCATGCTCAGAAGCCTTTAAGGCCTCCCACTGCTAAGAGCAATGTCCTTAATGTTCCTTAAATGACACTGAGGGTGCTCTACCCAGCCTGGTCCCCAATTCAGGTTCAAGGCAGGTAACCTGGGCTCAGGGGGAGACTCCAGCTCCTCCTCTGTTAAGCTACTGGCTTCCCCATCCCAGGCCCCTGAGAACAAGACACAAGGTGACCTCCAAGCTCCCACTTCCAGGGGTTCTGTCTGCCTGCTTGGCCACCTCAGCCTAGAATGGTGCATCCAAGTCCTCCAGTCAACTATTCTGACCAAAAAGCAGCAGCTCCCATGTGCCTGGGCCCCAGAATGCTCTGGGCAGAGAAGGGTGCTGGGACAGAGGGTGGGTGCTGAGTCTGAGCCCTGGTGTCACGAAGACTGCGTTTGACTCTGGCTCCACACTCACTAACCTCATGTGGTTTAAACTTCCTGGTGCCTCAGTTTCCCCAGCCGTAATGTAATGCTAACAACAGTAGCTACCTCGAGGGCTCCTGTGATGACCCAGTGAGATGATCATCAGGAAGTGCTGACCGGGGGGTCTAGCGTGTGGTCACGTGATGAATCCTAACTGGAAAGTGCCATGAGCTGTACTATGCTATGAATTATCAACGAAGAGTTCCAGTTACTACGTTTTACTATCATAAATCCTCACGAGGTTAATAATTATTAAAGCAGTCAGAGCCTGGGCAGTCAAAGGCTGGAACATTCTGTGGCCAGGCTGTCCGAGGAGGGGGCTGCTCCCCTGGAAACACGGCGTCTCAGAACACCCTGTGGGGCCCCTTTCCCAAGGATAATTACTGGCCTGTCCGAAGCCCAGGTTGAAGCCCAACCACCCAAACAAACATGCCTCCCTCCCCGCAGGGCCAGGCCAGAATAAGCGTCTTATGTCACTGATAACCACAGGCCAGGTTGGAACACTGTTGATCCAACCAGCGGTGACCTCATTTCCTCGGTTACAGTCTCAGGGTGCGGGGAGGGGCGCTGACCCACCAGAGTCCCACACTGCCAGAGAGGGCCAGCCACCCAGGAAAGGAAGAACACTGTGACTTACAGCTCTCCCCAAACCTGCAGGGCTTCCTGGGGGGCAGAGAGGCTTCTGATAAATGGCAGACGCCAAAGGGGCAATGCTTTTCCCTCCCAATTGTTCCTAAGTCCCCAGGGGGCATGCGCCCCTCTCTATTCATCCCTGCCTCCTCAGCCTCCGACACTGAGAAGGGAGCCCCGCTTAGCACAGGGCCACCACTAAGCGGCCCCTCACCCCTCATCTTTCCACCTCTCCCAGGACTTGACCGGGTCAGGGCGTCCAGGATGCCCCAGGAGCCAGAGGAAGAAGTCCCAGAGAAGGGGAGGAGGGGACCAGTGGGAACACACTGTTCTTCAGAGCAGCCAGCCCTCCCCCTTGCTGAGCCGCACGCATTGTCCGGGCTTGCTGGAAGGGCCCTTCCCCGTGCTCTCGCAAGCTCTGACGTCAAAACTTACCTGTCCGGGGCCCATTGCCTCAGCGCCCCACCTCACCATGGCTGAGCTGACTAATGCCACCCCTCAAGCTGTTAGCAGGTGAGAGAGGCCCATTCTGAACTCAAAGGACGGCAGAAAGGAGGACAGGAAATTAACATTCACTGAGCACTTATTACATGCCAGGTACAGAGTGGCCATAAAACCTTTTTAGAGTTGCATGGGGAATACACAGGAAATGAACGAATGCGTGGAGGGATATGGACCTGCTGATATCAAAGTATATCAGATACTACACCAAGTACCTTTCCGCTAAATAATCTTGTTTGACCCTCAAAATATCACATACAGCCACACGTTCTCTCTCTCCTACCTTATTTTTGTTCTGGTCTTTGGAGCACTTATCACTAACCGAAACAGTCTAGTTTTGTTTGCTGGTTGACTGCCTGTGTCCGCTGCTGGCATTTTCAGCTCCTCTGAGCTGGACCCGCACAGCAGGGAGGAGGCAGCCCTGGCCCTGGGCTCTGGGAGCTCCTGCTGAAGGAGTGCGTCCCATCACGCCCACGGTGCAGAGGGCTGCCCCTCCGGGTTCTTCCTGCTCCACCTTCTACCCTCCCCACCTGCTCTCTGTCTCCAGCCCACAGCCTTCTTCCTGTTCTTCCAATATACCAGGTAATTCTTGCCACAGGGTCCCTGCACTCGCGGGTGCTCCTGCCCGCGTGGTCCTTGCTGCTGTTACACATGTTACCCTCTCGCAAGCCAAGCAGGCCCCCTCCCGGAGAGTAGGGTGTGGCCGGAGAGGCCAGAGGGTGCCTGGCATACAACAGGTACTTCATAACGCCACTAAGTCTCAATCTCCCTCTGTTTCCACCTCCGATTCATGACAGGACGATCCCTGAGAAGTCCAGTGCCCCAGTCGTGCACAGAGGGGAAGATGCTTGGCTCGGACAATCATCCCCAACTAGGGACCTTCTTTGAACCCTGTAGAGGCTCATGTCGTGGGAAGTAGACAAAGCCTCTCCCAGAGCTGGAAGTGGAGCTTTGACTCTGGTCTACCCTCCCTCATTTGGCCAGCAAAACTGAGACCCAGGGAGGTTTGGCAGCTTGCCCAGGGTCACACAGCAAAGTAGTAATCAAGCAGAGACCTGGCCCTGGGACTTCTGATGCCTTGTCCAATGCTCTTCCCACCACTCCACGAGGCCCCCTGGGCTTTGATGCCATCAAAGGGGTTAAAAACAGGATTAGAACGACAAGGAAGGCAAACTCTCCTACACCAGTGGAGGGAAGGAAGGTGTGTCCAGAAACAAGGTGAGGCCAGTGTTTCCATCACAAGGCCATTCAGCGTGCTGGCACTCACGTGGGCTTGGAAACGGGCTTGGTGGCTTGGAGCCAGCTAACTGTGTGACTGTGGGCAGGTTCCTTTCTCTCTCTGAACCTCAGTTTCCCCTCCTGTAGAGAGGGGACGGGACAGCTGCTCCTGGAGCTGTTTGAGGATTCAAGGTGGTGATGCTCGTGTAACCGCATGGCCATCTCGGGCTTAGCGGCTCTGCTGCAGTTTCCCATTGTCTTGTGTCTGAGAGGGAGGCAAAGGAAACCAAGAAATTCCATGAGTGAGAAAGAAAATTCCAGGCTAAACAGGGGAGCCGGTGGGGCCGGGGCCCAGCCCCTGATGACTTGCTGCGTTGTAAACACAGAAATGAAAAGCCTTTGAAGCCTCCAGCCAGTGCCAAAGGCAGGAAGCTCCTGGGTCTAATTCCATCTCGAGGGGACGGGGACGAGGCCCGACTGAGTAATTCCAATGGCATTTCTGTTACACACACCCCAGAGCCTTCACTAGGTTATCTGGACGGCAGATAATTCTAGGAATCATGGATGGATCAACTCTGCGTCAGCGCTGCCAGGAAGCCCACACTGACTCCTCGCCAGCGTGGGCCTAAGTGGTGGGAAGGGGTTTAGCAGAGGGGCTGGGTCTGATGTCAGCAGCCTCACCCCTCCTCGATAGGAAGCTGCACCCCTGCTCTGAAGTCTCCAGCTCTAACACAAACGCCCCTGTGATGATTCAGGGGGACAAGGCCCACTGGCCAAACATGGATGGCAATGAGGAGCCAATTACTTGTCCATCTGTAACCCAGGAGCGCCCTCCCCCCACAGAACCGAACCAAAATGTTCTCTTCAGCTTTAAGCAACGTTCACTTTTGCTCTGACTTTAAAACCCTTCCAAGAAACAGGAGAGGCCAGAGGGTGTGACCAATGCCACAGGCTGGGAAACAGAAGTTGGAAGATTCAGAGGTTTCTTTCCTTTTTACGACCTCTCCCTCCTCTTGTCTGAGGTCCCAGAACGCCCTGGAGTGCCCCACCAGGGCAGCACGACTTACACTTCTGTGGTTATGAATCCGGTGAGCTCCGAAAGGAAGAGGAAGAGGATGAAGAGGCAGCAGCAGACAGAGACTGGAAGAAACAACACAGATGCAAACTGTTAAGGGGTGGGCACTGATGCAGGGAGGCCAGCTCAGAGGGGAGAGGAGGGAGGCCCCAGGACACAGGGTTTTGGGGGGTGCCCACAGGCCCTCCAAGGCCCTTCTGACTCGTGGCCTCAGCGGGAAGCAGCCCCACCTCCAGAAAGGGAGTCTGCCTTGGGAATGACCTGCTGGGGAGGCCTGGGGCAGCCTCCCCGTGTGGGCGATCCCGGGCAGCCCGGCCTTCTTCCCCAAGAGCTCCTTAGTGTGGGGCCAAAAACACAGGCTGCAAACGGGCAGCCCACAGATGCATTCTGTCTGGCTTGAGTGATCCGTATTTTAAAATTTGGAGTCCACTTTGAACAATCGGCAGATTTCACACGAAAGGCCAGGTTTCTGGCTTCTCTGGGTCCTAGCCCGCCGGTTTGCCGCAGGCCCCACCACTCCCTCCTGCTGCCCTGCTGCCAAGGCTGTGGCAGCGCCTGCTGCTGTTTGTCGCCACTCTCTGTGGTGCCCTCAACAAGCGCCCATGGCCTCAGACGTAGGAAAAGGAGATTGCTGAGTGGTGCTTCAAGAGAAGAATTCTTTATGGAAGTGAAGAAAGGTCCAGCGTGTCTGACACGCAGAGTGTAGAGCAGAGTCCAGGGTCGGCCGTGTCAGCCGTCTCTCTCCCCTGCCTGGCCCCCGAAGGCACAGGGGCTCGTGGCCCATGGAGTCGCTCCTTGGGACAGGATGTAACAGGCACCCCAGGGGACTCGGATCACCAGCCCATCTCCTGACACCCCCCAACATCCAACCACCCAGCCGCACCGAGCCACGTGCTGTTCCCCAAATATGCATCTCATTTTTGTTCCTTTGCCAGGAACCATCTTCCCCATCTCCCTTCCTCCTCCATGGTCATCCTCTCTGCTTGGTGAACTCCTACCCATCTTCCCAGGCCCAACTCAAATGTCTCTTCTGAAGGGAAGCTACCCACACCCCCAGAGGTAGAGCTAGTCACTCCTTCCTGTGTGTTCCCAGCCTCTATCTGGACACTTTCCACTTTTTATCGGTTATTTGTGGATGTTTTCCCCACTAGACTGAAATCCCAAAAGGCAGAAACTCCACAGCTCCAGCACCTCTCCTGGGACTGGGGACATGGGAGGCAATACTAGGTACAAAATAAGGGCTGAACACCCCTCATCTGAGCTTATCCCAGAGGAGCTTAGTGAGCAAGGGTTCACACTCCAGGGTCACGTGGGGCCCCACCACTCACCTGCTGCGTGTCCCTAGGTGAGATACTTAACCTCTCTGTGCCTTGGTTTCCTCATCTATAAAATGACAGCAATCATAGTACCTGCCTCATAGGGCTGCTCTGAGGACTTAACACAGGGTTGAGCATGGAATGGTGCCTGGCAGCAACAGTCACTTGAGCATTAGCTCATTATCAGGACTTCCGTCAGGGAGATGTTGGTAGGGTCTGGTGATTTGAAAAACTGGCTGACTCTTAGTTTCCTGCAAAGAAAAGAGTTCCCAGCCCCACTTCCTGATTCTGCTGCATTCTCAGCAGCCGACGCTAGACTAGCAGAGCCATGATGGTGGATGTTAACGTCGGGTATTCATCTTGTTTTTATTAGCCTGTCTATCTGTCTATATCTACCTACCTACTTATCTAGCTAAGACAAGCAGCCCCAAAATCAATCAATCTATCTATCTTTCTTCAAAACAAACAGCCCAAGATGCATTCTAAGTGCAGAGGGAAGGGAGCCAGCATTTGCCGAGCACCTCCTGTGTGCTCCATCGTGAGTGCGTTCACAGCACCCTGGCATCTCACACTCCCACCAGCCCCGACGGTGGCATGAGCCCATGTCAAGGGTGTAGAATGGGGGGCTCAGAGAGAAGAAGAGGCCAGCCTGGGTGCCACCGTGTGAGGGCAGGGAGGCAGGGCTGGAACCCACGTGTTCCAGACCCAGCATCCCTAGAAAAGGAGCCCCAAGAACTCAGGCTCCACAGGCCTGGGAGGCCTGGGATGGCCCTGACGGCCCCGGGTCTCACACTGCGACATGGGGATGCTCCGATTGCTCTCCAACTTTGAAAAAGTTGTATGGGGGCAGCATTGAAGGGTTTCACTTTTTATAAAAGTAGGTAATACATACATATAAGAAAAAACATCCAGGCTGGGCGCGGTGGCTCATGCCTGTGATCCTAGCATTCTGGGAGGCCGAGGCAGGAGGATTGCTTGAGGTCAGGAGTTCGAGACCAGCCTGAGCAAGAGCGAGACCGCCGTGTCTACTAAAAATAGGAAAAATCAGCCAGGCTTGGTGGCAAGTGCCTGTAGTCCCAGCTACTCCAGAGGCTGAGGTAGGAGGATTGCTTGAGCTCAGGAGTTTGAGGTTGCTGAGAGCTAGGCTGACGCCAGGGCATTCTAGCCTGGGCAACAGAGTGAGACTCTGTCTCAAAAAGAAAAGAAAAGAAAAGAAAAAACATCCAGCCATGTAACAATGTGTATTGTGAGTCCCCCTCCCGTACTGCAGTCTTCTGTGTCCACCCACAGACGTACAAGCATATATATGTACGTAAACCCCTCTCTTCTCTAAATGAACCACAGCATCACGGGCACACCCTTCCAGCTGTGCTTTGCCTACTCAGCAATCTATCTCTAAACTGGCTCCACATCAGTTTATACAGTGGCCATGGTTGTTTTTTTGGTTTTTGTATACAGTAAAGAACTTAATTTCGAGCTTCCCAGCCAGCTGCTGAACAAATCCCTGGAGATCAGCTATCAATCCACACGTCCTGGCTGCTGTTCTTCCCTTTCTCACCTGCAAACTGTGGTTATTATACCTCCTGAAAAAGAATCCCACTGAGTAGGCAAAACATCCTTTCTCTGGAATTTTGCACCTTTTCTGACCAGGATCATACAGGACCCACATTTCAGAACCATTTGCAGCCCGCCCCGCAGGCCCCCAAGCCCACTGGGTGCAGTAATGATGAACAGGCACACACCGCAGGGAGTGTTAAGAGAAGGTCGGTGCTGACTTGGATACATCCGGGTCTTCTAGCTGCCTTCCTGGACCCTGCCTGCAGACATGCCTCAAGGTTCTGACGCCACCCAGACCAGAGCTGGCGGGGATGGGACGACAAGGCCTCTTTCTGAAGCCTGTGTGCTTTTACAAGGCTTGGGCAGAAGCCTGGTTAGCCCAGCAGGTGGACACAATCAGCATCCAGTCTGTTCAGCCAAGATGCAAGGGGTCCAAAGGTCCTGATCGTGTACACTCCCTGAGCTAGGGAGGACAGAAACGAGGTCTCAGTACCTCGGTGGCCTCAAGGGCTAGCACAGCGCCTGGCCCAGAGAAGGTACAATATAAATATTTGTTGAATGAATGGACAAAAAACATGAAGGCAGGTAAAAAGTATTTCAACCAAAAAAGCCCTTGATACTGAAGGCAGGATGAAGGTTTTTCAATCCATGTTTGGGCAAGACTCGAAGGCTCTCACTCCGACTTCTGAAACTGACTCAGGCGCTGGGCAGTAGGAATGTGACCCCAAGAGAATGCTCACTGGTCGGAAACCCGGTGCAGCCAGCAAAGGGGGCACGGAGCCCGAGACCCCAGGGTCCAAGGTCGCGTGGCCACAGAAGTGGAGGCGGCAAAGTTCAAACTCTCATCTCTGAGTCTCCAGCGTCCCCGACCCTTCCCTCCGTTATTAGCATACCTATCGCAACAGAATGAGATGGCGCCTGTCCAAGTCTGCCCACCCCCCGGCTCTTCAAGGACAGAGACCGAAGTCCATTCATGAGCCCGGTCCCGGCGCTTGGCAAGGGGCCTGGCCCCACGACCCGGTTAATAAATATTTGTTCACGAAATGGTAGCTAAGGGCTGGCTTCCTACGCCTCACACCTTTCCTCTTGTGTAAGGAAATTCGCCATCCCAGCGCTGCCTACCAGACCACGTCCCTGGAGGGCCATTTGGCAGGACCTTCTCAATTTTAAAACGCACATGCCCTTTGACCCAGTAATTCCTCTTTTAGGAAAGTTAACTTACAGAAATAACTGTATGAGGATATAAAAAAGATATGAACAAGGATGTCCGTAATGGCAACAAACCGGGGGCTGGTGACACACACCACAGGTGGTCAGATAACAGAACGACACACCTGGAAAGAAGGGTGCGGTCGCCGTTCGTGCGCTGGTAGGAAGGGTGTCCAGGATGTGTGGACAGAAAAAGGGAGGCGAAGAACACTGTGCACAGCATGATCCCTTCTGTGTTTGAAACAATGATACAGGTATATCAAAGCTGAAGTATTTTCCAAAAAGTTCTAGAAGGATACACATGTGATTGTTAAACATACCCATCAAGGGAGAGACTGCAGAGATTGGGAAGAGGACAGAGGGCTGAGCTGTTGGTGGGTGGTAGGAAAGGAGGCAGGAAGCCTCATTTGAGTTTTTAGACCAGGTTCATAAACTGAACAAGCCCCTTCCCTCTCGTGGTCCCCTTACTACCCCGTCCTTGGGGGTCAACACCCAAAGCTGCATAGTGATAAGAGGAGAGTCATCCACGCTGAGAGAGTGTGGCATGTGCCCTGCATGGGATATGTCCCTGGACACATTTAATCCCCAGATCAGGAAACTGAGGCTCAGAGAGGTGAAGTGACATGCCCAAGGCCACACAGCTGCTAAATGGGAGAACAAACCCAGCTCTGCCTGACTGGAGAGCCCATGTGACAGGCATCCTGCCACTCCGCTGTGTTGTTTTCTGGGTTCTCCAGAGTTCAAGAAGGCACCTGCGGCTTCTACAAGCCCAGCTGGAGGGAGGGCTGGGGGGGCCCAGCCAGGAGTGGCGGGGTGGGGTGTCAAAGTCATCCCCCGACTGAGAATGGCCTGACCTCGGAGGAGGGGGCTCCAATCTCACCGCCCAGCCCCAGGGCCCTGCTCCGGCAGCAGGGCTGGGACGGTCAGGGGGCTGGGGAGACCAGAGGGGTGCAGGAGGGCCCGCCTGAGTCCCAGGCCCGCCTCCACCTTTTCTGAGATATAAAACTTCAGACAAGTCACTTCACCTCTCTGAGCCCATTTTCTCATCCGGAAAATGAGGCTGAAGCATCCCCTGCTTGCAAGGTGGCTTCGGTTTGTTTTCTTAAAACAAACTTTTTATTATAAAATAATAATAGATGCAAAGGTAGTAAAAACAGTTCCCACACAGCCTTTACTCAGCTTCTCCTTATGTTAACATCTTATGTTACCACGACACGTTTGTCCGAGGGAAGAAAGTAACAGTAGCACAGGACCAATCACTAAGCTACAGACCCTATTCCGTTTCACCAGTTTTCCCACGAATGCCTTATTTCTGTTCCAGGAACCGATCCAGGATCTCGCTTTGCGTTTAGTCATCCTGGGTCCTTAGTCTGTCATCTGTGACAATTCCTCGGTCTTTCCTCAGGTTTTCAAGGCCTTGCCATTTTGGAAGAGTACTGGCCAAGGGTCCCATAGAATGTCCCCGAGCTGGGATTGTGATGTTTTCTCGTGATTAGACTGGGCTGTGGTTTTCTGGGAAGATCCCACGGAGGTGAGGCGCCCCCTCACGTCACAGCAGGGGTACATGACATCCACGTGACTTGTCACTGGTGACGCCGACTTTCCTCACCGGGGTAAGGTGGCATCTCCAGGTTTCCTCGCGGTAAAGTCACCATTTTCCCTTTCAGTTCTCTATTCTTTGGCAATATGTTACAACGTCCAGCCCATGCTCGAGGGAAGGGGAATTAAACTCTACCTCCTGGATGGGAGAGTATCTACATACAGGTTGAACTTCCCAAATCTGGAAACCTGAAATCCAAAATGCTCCAAAATCTGAAACTTTTTGAGCGCTGACATGACGCTCAAAGGAAATGCTCGTTGGAGCATTTTGGATTTTCAGATTTGGGAGCTCGACTGGGAAGTATAATGCAAACGTTCCCAAATCCGATAAAGTCCAAACTCCGAAACAGTTCTGGACCCAGCGTGTCAGATGAGGGATACCCAAACTGTGTGTTACCTGGATTCTTCTGCAAGGAAGATTTGTCTCTTCACCCCATTTACTTATATCAGTATGGACTCAAGATCTTTTGCTTGATTTTTTAGGTTCTAAACCAATAATATTGTTGTTTATTTAATCACTCAAATGGCCCAGCTTTGGTCTGTGGGGCCTCTATCAGGTTGGCATCTGGGTCCTGCAACACTAGGTGCTCCAGGCTCATCTTGTCCTCTTCCTGCCCAGCCTGGAATCAGCCATTTCTCCAAAGAGCCTGAGTTTCCTTTATTGAAGAATTCTCTTTAGAAACCACAATCTGGGTGAGATCATGATTTTTTTTTTTAATGGACAAAAACAGGCTTAAGTCAAAAACTCAAACTAGGCCAGGCATGGTGGCTCACGCCTGTAATCCCAACACCTTGGGAGGCTGAGGTGGGAGGATCATTTGAGGCCAGGAGTTTGAGACCAGCCTGAGCAAAAGCAGGACCCCATCTCTACAAAAACTAGAAAAATTAGCCAGGCGTGTGGTATGTGTCTACAGTCCCAGCTACTTGGGAGGCTGAGGCCGGAGGATCACCTGAGCCCAGGAGTTCGAGGCTGCAATGAGCTATGATTTAGCCATTGCACTCTATCTGGGTGACAGAGCAAGACCCTATTTAAAAAAACAAAACAAAAAACCCTCAAGTTGTTTCAAAGATACAAAGAGAAAAGTAAATCCCCCTCCCACCCCTGAGCCCGTTACTATTGACCATTTCTTTTGTGTCCTTCCAGAAGCAGAAGACGCCTACATAGTTCAGTAAGGCTAGAGAGTAAATGAAGAAATACATCAATGGCCTGGCACGATGCTCGGCATTTCTTCCCTCCCTCCGGTCTTTCCATCTCTCCTCCCTGGCCCACAAGTTCTGCAGGGAGAGCAGGCACAGGGATGGGGCTGGGGGTGACAGCCAGGAGGGCGGCTACTCACTAATGGCCCCGGTGTACGTTGGCTGCGTAAGGTCCTTGGGCACCTTCCTGTAGATGTCAAACCTGCAGAGAGCAAACGGAACAGGAGTGAGGTGGGCACGAAGGGCGGGTTTCCAGCCAGCAGGCCGTGGTGCTGTGCGCTTCAGCAAGCCACAGCTCTTCCCCGAACCCGCTCCTTCTACTCTTTCAGGGCCCCCTCCAAGGGCGCTTGCGGGAGCCCCCTCTGATGGGACCCCTGTCCCCCCAACACCTTAGATCACACCTCCTTGTCTTCTCTCCTTCACAGCACTTACTGCCCAAGGTCATGACAAATGAACTTGCCCACTCATCTGTTTACACTTCTCGGTGGGTCTTCCCCCCTTATCAGAATGTAATCTCTGGGAGGGAGGGGACTTGTTAGGTTTTGTCCCCTGCCGTGTTCCCAAACTCTAGCATGGGCCTGGAGCATGGTAGGCACTTGGTGTATAATTGTGGAATAAACTGAACCCTCGCGTCTCGGGTGACTCTGACGCTAGAGGAAACAGGGAAACGCACAGCCTCTCTCGAGTTCTATGACGACGCGTTCCTGCTCTGCGTCACCCCTCCACCCCCTCTTCCCTTTCCTGCCTCCACCTCCTGTTTCCACTCCCCCCTGCACCCCCCACCAGCTCCTGCTGCCTGCTTCTCGGAGATTCCGCTTAACTCTGAGGCGTGAGGTTACAGAAAATCCTGCCTGGAGCCCACAGTCCGGGCACCGGCTGGTGGCGGCGCTGGCGCCCGTCTCCCGCTGTTTCCCTCCCCAGAAGCACACAGATGCCTTGTTTCCTAGGGATCCCACCAGAGCCCAGGAAAGTCGTGGGGTGTGGTGGAAGAATTTGGGGTTTTGGAACAAGACAGGGATTTTATTCTGGCTTTGCTTTACTACTGGCTGTTTAAGAGTTAAGGCCATGGAATCAGACTGTCTCGGTTCAAATCTTGGCTGGTCCTCTTCCTTGCTGTGTGACCTCAGGCAAACGACTGCACCTCCCTGAGTCTCAGTTTCCGGATCTGTAAAAATGGAGCTACCACTGCTCGACCCTGCAAGGCTATCGAGAGGAGTAAGGGAGACAAATGTCCGTAAAGGACGACGCGGAGAGTACCAAGGGGAGGCTCCCCATGCACTCGGCTTCCTTCCCTTCCCTTGAACCTGAGCAGCAGACGGTTCTCACACAGCAGAGTTTTATCAAGAGGACCCTCGACACACACAACGTTCCCAGGCTCTCGGGTGGAACCCGACCTGGTGGAGAGGCTCCTCTCCCCGGGGATGACAGGTCGGCACGTGGCATGTGGCTCCTCCTGGCGATGGGAAACGGAGCGTGCCCAACTAAGCCCAGTGCGACGACTTGGAAATCTTGAGTAAGGGCTGATATTTGACTCCGTGTGCTCACCCTAATTACACGTGAAATGTGCTCAGTTTCCTAAGGCCTCAGGGGAGAAAAATCCCTGTGGGTTGTGCCAAGTTAAAAGGTACCACTTTCTCTGCTGCCTGCTCGGCTACCAGTCGCCTGTGCTTGGGCCCTTCGGGGCACTAGAAACTGGGGCTGGGGGAGGTGTCTGGAGGGGGTTCCATGCAACTCACCTATCCCTACCTACCTACTCACCTGTCTTGCTCGGAAAATGCGGAATGCTTTAGCACCAAGGGGTATATTAGAGATAAGGGCATGAACTGTGGAATCAGACTGCCTGGGCTCAACCTCGACCACCACTGTGTGACCTTGGGCCTGTCACTTAACCTCTCTGTGCCTCAGTTCCTTTGTCTGTAAAATAGGGGCAACAACAGTAACTATCTCACAGCACAGTGGTGAGGCTCAAATGACGGAGTGCATGTAGAGCACTTAGAACAATGTCTGGCACCTAGGAAGTGTTGTATATTTACTGTTACCATTGATAATGCTACTTTAACTAACATCTAGGAAGCACCTACTATGTACTGAGCCCTGTTTTAGGTATTAGGGACATGGAGATAAAAATCGACCCTTGGCCCCATGAGCCTGCAGTTTGGCAGCAGAGACAAAGAAAGAAAGGGAAGGAGAATGCAGGGGTGCTCCATCCCGGGGCTGCTGGAGGAGCCCACAAGGGGCACCTAACCTGGCCTGGGGTCCTCCTCAAAGCTTCCTGCAGGAGGCGAAGTGTGAACAGAAGACAGGTGGGTGGAGGGACAGAGCAGCCTAGGTAGGGAGAACAGCAAGAGCAAAGACCAAGAGTAGGACCGAACCTAGGGTGCTGGGTGCTACCCTGACTTCCGTATGGGACAGGGGCCGGGCGCGGAGGAAGAGGAGGTGGGAGAGCTGGGAGGGGCCGAAGGAGAGGGTCGGGCCTGCCAGGCCAGGGCTGAGGATTCTCTTACCAACGCCCCACTGGGGCCAGGAGGGCAACCCAAGGTAGGAGGCTGTCCGAGGTCGGCAAATTTGGGAGCTGGCGGGTAGGGAGAGGGATAGGGAAAAAACACACAAGGGGGTAGCCTTCACTGAGCCCCAGCTGATTCCTGCCAGGTGGAAGCGTGGGCCAGGGGGCCAGACCTTCTGATTTTTCAAGAGAAGCCAAAACTTGGAATTTTACATGGAAGCTCCCCATTCTCAAAGGTTGGGCCAGCACTCTGCAGGACAAGAGAGGCAAGACTGCAGAGGAGACCTGGGCCCAGCGTGTGGTGTCTGAGCTGAGAAGCCCTGCAGCGCCGGAGAAGGCTGTGGTTGGCCTCCTGTCTCAGAAGGGCCAGGCTGAGCCGGGATGGAACACGTGTGGGCTCTCCTAAGGAGACTGCAAAAACAAGTGACAGCGAACTTTGGGGTGGGGGGGAGGAGGGGGTGGGGAAGCAGCAGGAGAGATCTCATCCTCTCTCTGCCCCTACTTGGTCTTTAAACTGCAGAAAATCCCTGTCCCCTGCTGGGCCTCAGTTTCCCTGATTGTGAAATAAAGGAGCACATAGGAGACCTAAAAGTTCCCTTCCAGCTGAAAACTGAAGGCTAAAGGAAATCCAGGTGACAAACAACCAACCCGGCTTTCGTCCAGGTCACCATCAGGGGCCCATAGGCCGAAACTGGGCCTCACTGTTTAAAAAATACAGGAACCACCATTTCAAAGCTGGGAGTGTGGTGGGAAGTCAGAGCTGCTTGGGGTGAGATGGCAGGGGTGGCCCGGGGTAGAGTGTCAGAGCCCAATAAGGGTGAGGAGGAGGAGAGATGAGAGATTATTACATACAGGGGGCTGATCGAATATGTACCCATACTAAGGACAATGGGGGCCAGATGCTTCGCTGTGGGGGATGGGAGGTTCAAACATGTGGTGTTAGGGTGGAGATGGAGGCATCGGTGTGACTTCATGATTTTCAATATATGCAAATACTGAAAAATATATATATACACACACACATCATATATGCAGACACTTCCTAGCTCTTTCCATAGAGAGGGTCCAGGAACAGCGGCAGCCCACAGCAATAAGCGCAACTAGCACCCAAACCTTAGCTTCTAATTACTACGCTCTACTCAACGGAATCAGAGCTCCTTGGAGAAATGGCTGATGCCAGGGGCTGCGCAGGGAAAATACGAGATGAGCCTGGCACATCTTATGTCAGAAACCAAGAAAGTGTTCCAAGAACACAGGTGAGATGCCAAAAGGACAAGAACCAGCTTGAGGGGTCTCCCACTGGCCACAGAAAGGACAATGTGAGCACCAAAATAAATAATGATTGTCACAGATTATAATCCCTTGGATCAAACAGAAAGCCATGAATCTCCATAGATACAAACAAAGCAATGAGTGAATCAAAAGCTTGATGAGGTATAGGATACTGACACACCTTTGCACCACAGAACACTCATTACGAAGGGGAAAGAGTCACTTTGCGGTGGAGAAACTTGGCAGACACCACCGCCACCAAGTGAAGAAAGTGAACGTCAGCAGTAAGGAGACGTCAGCGTAACGTGCCCCCCAATACGCCGCACCGAGGGGGGCACAGTGTCGCACAGGGCTGCTTTGCGGAGATCCTGCCTAAAATGCACAGCTTCAGTGTGATGGTGAGCAAACATTAAACAAGTCCGCATCGAAGGGCATCCCACCAAACAACTGGCCGGCACTTGTCAAAAGTGTTAAGGTCATAAAGGATGAGACTTTCGCAGACTGAAGGAGACTAAAGAGTCATGACAGCTACATCTGATGTGGGATCCAGGGTCAGAAAAAGGACATCAGTGGGACATTTAATGAAACTTGAGGAAGATCTGTAGATTGGCCAACAGTATTGTATAATGCTACTTTCCTGGTTGTGGTAACAGTACTGCGGTTATGTAAGACATTAACACTTGGGGAAGCTCAGGGAAAGGGCACACAGGAACTCTGTGTGCAATTTTTTGCAATATGGGGGGCCAAGTCTGACATTATTAATTTAATGGAAATGTAAAAAAAAAAAAAATTAAAGGGGGAGATGCTACTTCACAATCCCACTTAGCCTGCTTTCTTCGCGCATGCTTGGTCCACGTAGGCATTTGGATTCGAGGTGCTGGTTGAACAAACGTGTGCTGAGTGTGCGGGGTTTCAGGAAGAGTGTGTCTTCGTGAGGTGCGGGCCGTGGAGGAGGGAGGCTGGGTGATGAATAAAGCTCTAACAGGGGCGTGAGGCTTGGACCAAACTGCAGGAGGCAATCAAAGCAGGCAGTGCTCAACCATGATCACCTCCAGCCCATGCTGGGCACTCTGACACACATATTTGCATTTATTTCTCACAATAACCCTGGAAGATACTGATATCCCATTTTTCTAGAGACAAAACTGAAGCTCACTAAACCAGTGAGTAACGGATCCGGGATGCAAACCCAAGCCTGAGTCCGCAGGTCACGGTCTTTCCACTGCCCCATACTTGTGGGAATCACGAGTAGAGCTCACTTACAGGTAAATTAGATTGAAGTCTTAAGGTTTTGCTCATCTGCTTTTCCAAGGATGCTGCCCCAGAGAAGATGGGAATCTCCTGGAAGACAGGGACCAGTTCAAAATGCTTCAATTCATTCAACAGATATTTACTAAGCATCTAGTCTACCAGGTAGTGTTCCAGAT